TTCACTTCAAAATGGAAGCCATTTGTAGCTCTGTTGATGTATGGACAGTATTCAATCTCCTGCAATGTCTTCCGAATCGTGTCCAGCGTTACAGCTGCAACTGCTGCAGCAGCTTCTTTTTGAAGGTTCTGAATGTTCCTCTTCTCATTGTCGATTTAAGCCCCATGGTCATACCAGTTCATGCAAAACTGTTAACGTTTCTGAACATTTTAATCGACAAACGTGTATGCCCTTTAAAATACTTTTTTTTTTATAACAGACTGAAATCCTAGCAATCGTTCTCAATGGCCCTGTATGAGCTGATTGTTGACATGATCATAACGATTGCCTGAAGAACGTTAATGGTAAAAGCCTAAACTCCTAGTTCAAACACCAAAATAATGCAAATTCGACAATAGTTAAATTTTTTAATTTCTGACACAGTTTAACAACTTAAAAATATATATATTATGAACAATTTTGGAAGTTATGGTTGAATGAAACTTAGTGACAAAAACGACTTAAAACAAGTTTGCTATTTAATTATAACAGAAATTCGCGTTACCCGATATAACTTTCTACAAGAAATAATACACCTACAATGGGGTAAACATTTTGTTCGTGCTAACTAAATGTTCTACCTAAAAAAGGTCGTGTTAAAGACAACTGTATTGTGACAACTTTTTGAATGGATTTATACAACTACATGTGACAAAATATGAAAACAACAAAAAACAATATATCTCCTGTGGGGTATCCAATAAAAGCACAATAAACTATGTGTTAAAATTAGAGTTACAATAGAGTTAAAATATTCTTGTAATTATATTTTAAACGAGGTTTTGTAACGAGTTAAACTTTCAGCAGGTAATCCGTACACGTTATTGCTCGTAAGCGATTACCATACACAGAAAAACCTGTCTCTCAGTCCCACGTGAACACCTCTTTACAACATCAATATTCTGTTACTATACATAAATGACGCAGCAGAATAATACTAAATAAACAACATGGGCATTGATTTATGTACGTCAAATATACAAAGTGACAGTTATTCATGTAAAGTGAATAGTCTAGTTACATGCAATATGTATAATAATGTAATAGTTCTAGTTACAGGTGACAAGACCCGACGAATGCCATTTACACTGAGTTAGCTATTTACTGTCCTCACTGTCAGTATGTAACATTTTTATGGCAATAAGTGATATGCGAATCTTTGGCTCAAAGACGTAGGGCCGCATGACTAGTGCAGTCGCCACGCATTGTACAGGTTATGACTTGTGTCTACCTCCTACAACAAACAAACAAAAATGAAATAAGATTCGAACCTTGGACTCACCAATGGTGCTCTGGGCTAAACGTTGCTCAAATATAACTACAGCAACATACTTGAGTTGAGGTGTGGTCTGGTATGAAAGCTAGGGGGACGTGCAAGGTAAAAAGGGGCACAACCCATACCAAGCTGGTGATCGCGTAGGATGACTTGTAGCCGACAAATGAACAAGGCGCCATCCCCCCCCCCCCCAATCTCTTTTTTTTTTCCCCTTCAAAATAAGGTACGGACCCAGTGCAGATGCCCCTGCCGTCCCTCAGCTCTGCCACTAATTTCAGATTTTACGTCGATAAGTGTGTACTTTATGGGGAAATAATGAATATAGTGTCATCAACTGATCTATTCCGTCTTTCTTCTGCCTTCTATCCTCAAATAGAGCATAGGCCCTCAACCAACTCACGCCAAGTTGTTCTATTCTTAGCTGTCGCATGCAGCTCATCATATGTCTTCCCCCTACTTTTAACTTCACTCTCTAGCTCCCTTCTCCATTTGTGTTGCTCTGCCTTCATTTCTATGCGTACGTGGGTTCCGGTGCAAAAATGTTTTAGTTATACTGTTTTCAAATTTTCTCAGCATCTGTCCTATCCAACACCAGCGTCTTTTTTTTTTTTTTTTCCACCTCTCGGTCCACTGGAACCTGTTTAGTTCTCTCCAAAGGCTCATCATGAGTGATTCTAATCATACCATTTAATTCCCTCTATGGTGCGCAGGCATCAGTTCATGAATGTTTATAGTTTATTAGTAATTGTTTAAGGGTAGGTAGGTAAGTTGTACCCCACCAGGACATCAAACTCACGCGATAAACATCCTGTAACCCAAAGTGCCACCATGCTGATGAGGACCACTCGTGAAAGGGTCACGGAACCCCCCTTCAGCCGTTAGGCCATATTTAAGGGACGGCTATAATTAGGGCCCCCGGCACAAGCCAGGGTGGGGCTTCAAAATAACTGAAAAATTACACCCCACGTGGAGACGAGTGAAGTCTACTGGGACAAGTAATTGTATTAATAGTTCTTCGTGTTTCAGGTTCATGCAACTATATTTGGCATTTTAATTAAAAATTGTAAGTTTAGTATCAGTGTTAATTTCTTTTAACCTCCGCATATTTCCTATTACTGTGAAAGCTCTTCTTGTCTTTTGTATTCGAATTTTAAAATTTCTGTCAGTTTCTCCATCTGAATCTACATTACTGCCCAAACAAGTGTACGACTCCACGTCTTGAAGCTTGATACCATTCAGAGAAACCACATTACTACTTGCCTGATTTATTCTTATTATCTTTGTCTTTCAAAAAGAGGGTCTTAGACCTAGTTTCTATGATCTCGCATCAAGTATATTAAATTTATCTTGCATCTGATTCGGTCAGAGGAAAAGAAGAGAAATATCATCAATGAAGTCTAGATCCTCAAGCTATGTAAGGGTCCACTGAATTCCATTCCTGGTGTTAGCAGTTGCTGTCTTAATAATCCAGTCTATTGCTAGTGCTGATCTATTTGGTTTAGACTAGGTCAAGGAAATGTGTTTAGCTGTAGTCAATGTTTGGTATACAATCAGTTGTACAGCGCAACATGAGTTAAAATTATCATCTATGCATCGATAATGGGAAACATGTTTTTTTTTAAGCACCGCCCCTCAATCGTTATAGGAGGTATATAAGGACTTATTACTGATATATACACAAAGAAGGCGCATTACATGTATTAAATAGCATCACTATTCTCACATATGACAATAAAATGATGTTATAGATAACAATTTGCGATGATTGATCTAGTTGTATTTAACACACACAATTTGTATTCTGGTTATAGATACATGTCGGCGTCTGTGCCTTAGGCGTTGTGATTGCGCTGCGTAATGCCGGGGGGCTGGGTTCGATCCTAGCTGCATATGATTCGGCAACAGACCGTCTTGCGTTAGTTTCGACAGTGGTATAGAGATTCGATCGTTCAGGAGGGAATGGTAAGCTAATGGAGGTAAATGTGCCAAGAAAAACCACAACAGCCAATAAGTTTTGGTTCTACAACATCCTGTAATGGATACACTTTTTTTTTAATAGAAACAATACCACCATTGCCAGAGCAGAGACAAAAACCGCCATTCTGATATATCACCTACCCGCGCAGATTCATTTGTTGCTCTATGAGAACGTACAACTACCGCTGTATACCGAACACGCCTCATGACGTACACAAATAATATATTGATTGTTTTCCCGGTGTTCTTCTTGTTATTATTGAATAGATCATACATTGGTCATTGTTATCAATAACCTGTAGTATTTATAAACAGGTATTTATAACATATAATAATTAAAGAGAATAAAAATAACAGATAAGGTTACTGTTACAATTAAAGGCAGCAAAAAACTAATCTATCAAAGTTACAAATAAAATATTATAACTGGTTTTTTGTTGTTGTTGTTGTTGAGTAATCACCAAAACTAACAGTACGAAGTTTATCTGGTGAGAGCAGTCTGCCAAGCTGTTGACAGCCTTAAAGATATAATTATTATCTTGATCATCAACGCCACATAGGGCTCGCAGTCGTTTCCTCCATTCCCTTCCATCCTCTGCAATCCTGTCGATATCATGGAAGGAATACAGCCTAGCAGCTTTAGTCTTTCTCAGCATGTCCCTCTTAGGGCTTCTCTTCGATGTCCTCTTATCCTTTATCCTTTTGTTTCACATTTCAGTACCTGTTAGTGGTTCTCTGTCCCTTTCTTCTCCTGATGTGTCCAGTCTATCGTCATCTTCTTTTTCTTATATTTGTTGAGACAATAAGTTGTCCTGGCACTTTTTCCTTCTTTCTTTGGGTTACCTTGGTGAAATTAATTTAATGTCCACCGTGTTCATATGCTTCCAACGTTCGTTCCGCGTCTTTAGTAGTTCTGCAATTTTCACTGGCATAGTTTGCAGCTGATATAATATAAGAATTAAAAATGTGTAACTTGGTTTTAAAACGATATAATTCAGAGTTCTATTTTGTTTAGGATTTCAAAAGCTGCTTTTGCCTTGCCAGTTCGTATGATAATTTATTGGCACTGGATCTTTTAAAACTGAAAACAGAAAAAGACACAACTAAAAGTTACTGACACCATCAAAATACCGGAGTGCCATTTGGTACCAGATCTTATCTCCTTCATTAAACAGCACACGATGAGGGTTGTAGTCAGTGGAAGATAGCACATATCATTGTCTGGTAAAAATTGTAGAGGTTTGGGCCCACTCTTGAGCCAAGTTGTAAAAGGTTACTTTTAGAATAACATGGTTAACGCACTTTATAAGTTAGGCATGGTTTTTATAAGTTGTTGCTTTTTATAATCAGAACAAAGCGTAACAAAAGGTTTGTAAAGGTTACTGGCCATGACTTCTATACCTGGCATAAGAATACTCTAAAATATTGATCTAAGATACCCATGAGGAGTAATCGACAACATGATTATATCGTTTCCTCTAAAAGTTTAGATTACAAATAGCTTAAAGCTTGATTAATGCAACGAGTACTCTAAGAGCTAAAATGGACGAGACATTGTTACGTTATGCAAAGATATAATGCTTTATTAATGCAGAATGAGATGTTTCTAGTGGCGATAACTTGAGCGTGTGGTGCCCACAAAAAGCACCGAAGTGTCTTCATTCACTAGCCTTCATCTAGCGACGGTTTGACCTCTGATCCCGGCTACTCAGTGTTCACACACAACGTTGTATTTATGGTTGCAGATTTTCAACTGTGCATCATACAGGGTCCCTTCTGGACAAACCATGCGAGTGGACCCCAAGTGGTGCTGGTTGACTGGCATACACAGAATAAAGTGCTGGCAGGAGGATGGGTCTGCATGGATCCCTAGACCCAGGCTCTCGCAGTCAACGATATCTGTGTGGGAAAAGATTGACATGAGTTAGACTTCAGGTAATTTACAGTGTAAGTGACTGGGTTACTGTATGTTTGCAATCCGGATTAACTTACAATCAATTTCGATGTTCGGATTTGAATCAGGGACAGTCAGTGGGTTACTGAAAAACTGTGTGGATGCTGCATGAATGTGATTTTATAAAAGATAATACAGTGGATTGATAAACAAAGTCAAGCAGAAAATTTGAAATATCAGGAGACAGACTAAATTCTGTTATCATAGTGTAATAGAGGGAAAACATAAGTAAGTACACTGTCACAGTTTTAAAGCTGAACCAGAGGGAGATAGCGATGAAAGAGACTGAACTGTGTGGCATCGTAGCATGAAGTATCATTTTACACGTACTCGAGACAGATGGCTGTGGAAAAGTATCACTACAAATTACACACCCTGTGAACTATAAAAAAGATCAGGATAATTTAATTTACATGTTTTGACTGACAATCACAGAACTTAGGGAAAAAATGGCCAAGTATTCAAGCCGTCTGTCTAGAACCCTGGAGGTAGTGGGTTCGTTTCAGGGCTGCGCCCTTCAGTTCACGAAAGTAATTTTTACGGAGATCCTTGGGGATCGTCACCGGACTATGGAGTTTGTGCCATGTGCCATGTACTCAAGTAGGGCATTGGGGTCTTGCAATATACTCAAGGGGTAGTGGAGACCTTGCAATATACTCAAAGGGTAGTGGAGACCTTGCAATATACTTAAAGGGTAGTGGAGACCTTGCAATATACTTAAAGGGTAGTGGAGACCTTGCAATATACTCACTGGGTAGTGGAGACCTTGCAATATACTCACTGGGTAGTGGAGACCTTGCAATATACTCACTGGGTAGTGGAGACCTTGCAATATACTCACTGGGTAGTGGAGACCTTGCAATATACTCACTGGGTAGTGGAGACCTTGCAATATACTCACTGGGTAGTGGAGACCTTGCAATATACTCACTGGGTAGTGGAGACCTTGCAATATACTTAAAGGGTAGTGGAGACCTTGCAATATACTCACTGGGTAGTGGAGACCTTGCAATATACTTAAAGGGTAGTGGAGACCTTGCAATATACTTAAAGGGTAGTGGAGACCTTGCAATATACTCAAAGGGTAGTGGAGACCTTGCAATATACTTAAAGGGTAGTGGAGACCTTGCAATATACTCAAAGGGTAGTGGAGACCTTGCAATATTTTAAAGGGTAGTGGAGACCTTGCAATATACTTAAAGGGTAGTGGAGACCTTGCAATACACTAAAAGGGTAGTGGAGACCTTGCAATACACTAAAAGGGTAGTGGAGACCTTGCAATATACTAAAAGGGTAGTGGAGACCTTGCAATATACTAAAAGGGTAGTGGAGACCTTGCAATACACTAAAAGGGTAGTGGAGACCTTGCAATACACTAAAAGGGTAGTGGAGACCTTGCACTATACTCATAGGTTCCGGAGGCTATAATGGATATAGTATACGAAGTCAGTTGCAAACGATTAGGTAGCAGACCGCTTTGCGCTGAATTTGACAAAGGTATGAATATTTACTGCACAGAAACAATAACAAACTACAGAAATTACAACTGCCACAATCATTACTACAACAATCATTAAATGCTGAAGCTGATATGTGAAATCATATAAAGGATTCGCAAGTACCCGATAATTACCCTCTGCACTGGAGCTGTTACAGAAAGGATTGACAACGAGGAAGGAAATGCACGTGCTTTGAATACCCAATGACCTAACACTTTTAATTCTGACTGCACTGTGTACAACCTGTCTATGTTTAATGTGCAAAAACACTGATTACACATGCTAACTCCAATCTCTTAGCGACATATCTACTGTCAATTAGATCAGTTGTAATGAAATGTTAATTACGAGAACTTTAAAATAACGTCTTGGATTCGAATACACATCTGAATAGATCTGGTTTTATAAGTGACCTCATCTCCTAAATAGGCACATGCAACCTAAAATACATGAAAGGAAATTGTGTTGGACGTGAGGAAAGAGTTGTTTGCTACTTTATGTACAGCAGTAGATATTTCGTTAAAGAGAAAGTTAGCTAGTGTATGCATTTAAAATTGTAAAATACTTGAGCGCATTAAACATAAACCTACTGTATTAATACTCTTTAGGTTAGAAATGTCTGGCCTTCGGGAATGCTAGACCCCAGGCAAAGGGTGATGTTTCAACTCTTTAATACCCACAGTGTTGTTTCTTCAACATGGACAGAACGAGTTAAAGTAACAGTTCTAAGATAACATACTAATGTGACAAAAGAACTGGACAGGAGGAGATATCAAAATATAACGTAATTAATAAATCCACACTTGTTGTCTTGCTGCTGAAATATTAAAAGTAATAACTAACTACTCACCGAAATTCGCATCGCTGCCATTGTCGAATGAATAGTAGTCCGTTTCTTTGTCGGAATCCTCCAACAAATCACCGTCTGAGAGGGTGTCTGAGGGGTCGGCCGAAGCGCTTTCCGAATGGCTTGATTCCCGATCATAATTCGTCGGGGTTGTGAGGGACCAGGGCACCAGTCTTGGCTGCTGCCGATGAGCTTTGTTTGGGTGACTCGGCTTTTTGAATGTTCTGACGGCCGGAAGCGGGTGCAGATTTCAGCTCGCTCTGAGACAGTAGCCTTGCCACGTGAGAAGACTGAGTGAACACCTCATAAATCGTTCTCAGGAGCGGATATTTGGGACCCCCACAATGTCCATTGAAGTCATCCATTTCCACAGACCAAACGAATGCTCCTCCGAGACCTTCTCTGATAATAGTCGCAGCCTAAGATGGATAGGAAAAGACTTTTTAACGTTTTAGGAAACCCTTAGTTTTTATTAGTGGACGGGAAAGCCCTGACGCCTAAAAACTATCCATGACCTCGATGTAAAATAACTGTCAATTAATTGGTTGAACCTAAAGTATTTTTGTGTGTAATTTGAACACTTTCGCTCATTAAATTAAAAAAAAATTGAATATCAAAACTATGATAAAATTATGTTCTTTCAGTAGTCGCACGTTTCTTTAAAAAAAAAAAGTATATTTAGATGAGGGGAGATGTCGTGGTTTAGCGGCTAGACACTCGACTGCGGATCTATAGGTCGTGGGTTCAAATCCGCAAGCTGCACTGATTACACTATTTTTTGTTATTTGTTTGGTTAGTGTCCATCCTTCACAGTTCCTAAGTTTCTGAAGTATTTGTTTTGTTGTTGTAATTCATGTTATATTGTGTTAATTTGACTAGCCTTGGATTACTGGCCAAGTTGCGCCTTGAAATGTTTGTGTGTTATGTTGTGCCATAATTGGAGTCGTCTCACCCCTGAAGTATGTTGGATGTTCATTGAAACTGCGGGATAACGTATAGACCATTGCGAGCCAACATCTCAAAACGAAAACTACATCAGAGTGCCCTTTGGTTCATTAGGGTACGTGACAACAGCAGTATCTGACACCGGTACCTCCCCAACAGCCCTCACTAGGTGTTAGAGTGCCACTCAAAGCCACTAGTTTTGGTGCAACTGACATTTCTTAGCCAGCATAACTGACACAAAGAAACCAGACCACACTTATAACCGATACTGCTCGCAGTAGATTGAACGTGGTCGATTTTTTTGTTTTGCTTTGTTTTACATAAATGGAAAATGGACATCGGTATGCGACTGAATTGTTTGCAGCCAAATGGATAAGGGATGTTAGAACTGTGAAACTTCTTTCATAATTCCAAACCACAAATAAGAAGCCACTTGAAGTATTTAACTTATGTGAAAGTCGTGTTCTTACGGTGTCTGAGTGGTAAATTTCTCTGTTAGGTGTCTCATGTGAAAATTTTATACTGCAAACGTTTGCTACATGGAGCATATCTTTTTAAGCCTCTTCTATAGCAACCAGTAGTTGAAAAGTACATTGTATGTGATATGTTTGGATTTGGTAATCGTATCTCGCAAAGTCGAATACTTAATAACTTTTATTCTGCCCCATACTTCTATCAAGCAAATTCATTTTCACCCAGTTGTCACTTTATCTCTTTCTGTCTGCCTATAGTAATACTGTAGGTAGGACAGTAAGTGTTGCTCTAAAGTACACAATCCTGGCGTGATCCCATCAAGAGCCCATGTTGAAAACGCTACCTGGAACTTAAAATTCATTCATTCATTCAGTAGCATGTCCCTCGCGGAACCTCGCTGCCATAACAACCCTCCGGAAAACCTTCCTATCCTGAGCAAGATGTCCTGCGTCTGATACACCCATCTGGAGATCATCTGTCACATCCTGCACCCATCTTCTCCTTGGCCTTCCTCTTCCTCTCTTCCCAGGCATATACCCCTCCATTATTGTTCTCTCTAGACTTCCATGACGTTTCAAGTGACCAAAATATTTCAATTTTCTTTGTTTTATTGTCTTTACTAGCCAAACCCTCTTCAATATTCAGCTCTTGAAGTATGGAGCATTTGTTCTTTTCTTTTACCCAAGATATTCTTAGAACCTGTCTGTAACATTTATATTCAAATGCATTTATGCGCTGTTCCGCTGTTTAGTATGTGTCCAGGTCTCACATATGTTGCAATGGGAAAGATGCATGCTTAAAAATCTGACCTTTGTAATTATCTGTACAACATAATTTATTCAGTTGTTTTAGTCTTTGAAGAGCAATTGATAGTCGCCGTTTAATTCTTTCATTGTGTCACCATTGTTGGTAACCAGTGACCCAAGATATTCGAAATTGTCCACCACTTCCAATCTTTCCTCATTAACATATATTTCCTTCTCCATGGCAGTTTTGTTTGTATGCATTATCTTTGTTTTTGCTATGTTAAGAAATAAGTTATGATTTTCACTATTTCTTTGGAGTGAGGTTACTAAGTTTTCTAAACCATTTTGTGATGTTGATAGTAATACTGTTTCATCAGCATAGCGAATTTCTGGTATTTCTTGACCACCGATGTTTAGGGCATCATATTGTTCCTTGTTTATATCATCTCTTACATTTCTCATTATATTTTCGGCATACTTAAAATAGTTAATCTAAATTGCTGTTATTCCACATTATCATTGGCTTGCTACTTACCTTAAGATAAAAGCTGTCCGGAGAATCAAACCCCACCCATTCACCACCGCCGTAAGCATATGGCACTTTTTGTTCATCTATCCATTTAACTTCCCAACCCTCGTTGATAACTTTCTCGCAGATCTGGGGAAGACATATGAATGTTCTTAATCATTTGCAGTATACACAGAGATTCTCACCAATCTGAGATACACATACAACTTCAAAAAAATTGGAGACACACATTAAAATATTATATAATTATAATAATTCTTATAAAACAAATATTAAACATAAAGATCTTTTCAGATATGGGAGATAAACATAACACCTCTCAAAATCTTCTCAAACATATGAGATACATACATATATATCCGCTCAACCTGATATGTAGCGGCTATGAATTCTACTGACCTACATTGCTTTAGTTTTGGTTGTATTTACTTTCATGTTAAATCTTCTTATTATTGAACTGAGCCTGCGCAAATGGACTGGTGATTAGTGACATTTGAACATGTCTCTCACCATCAGAGGCAGCCCGTGGCGCCCTGGCTTACGTCAACTAATGACTTCTGATCCGTAACTGCTGACTCTCGATATGTTTCCAAGACAGATTAAGACCAGAGATGGTGTTCCTTCTATATAGAGACCATGCATTAACGATACAGTATAACCCCTCCCTGTCTTGCTTACTCCAAAAGAAAGGTAACACCAATATTGATGGAATTAAGCATGCTGCGGAGGCGTCCAGATCAGAAAATAACCAAACCAGTAAATATCAAATAAAATAAAATCCTGTTGCCTCTTACGAGTTCCAATAATAATTACATGGGACCAAAAGATAGTTGAAATAGTAGCTGCGGTATAGTTGATTGGCGTACAAACTAGATGAGTGCAAGATGAAGACAACAGATGTGTTGAGTTACCAAGTCATGCGTGACGAGTTACTTGTTACTTGCTACTGAATGTGTTATAGGCTTCTTTAACACACGGACGTAACTTGAGCTAGCAAAGGAAATATATTGCAAACATGAACGTGAACTATAGTTCGTTCACCAATAGATAAACACACATGCATACCATTTTCTCGAAAGCTCTGCCTATTTATATCGCAATGATTTTTTGCATGCAGCCATAGAATATCTATGACATTGAGGAAATTTTTTTGTCACTAAAGAAGAATGTCATATGCAGTTTTTTTTTCTTCTTTACAATATATATTTTTTATCATGAAACCGTCTTGGTAGACTTTTGGAAGGTTTACTTTTATTAGTTTCAGGAAGTAATGCACACTATGACTGGTTTAACAGGGAGTCAAGAAAACCTACGCAACTTCACGATTTTCTCGTGCAAACGCACTTTTAGTTACAGGAAGCAGAAATAGGAATTGGCTGATATTCATCATCTTGAGCATCTATGGACTAAAGAATCCCACTATTTTTCCGCCATGGATATTCTAAAGCTGCATGCAACAAAAAAAATCATGGCTATCCAAACAGACAGTTTTCGAGAAAATGGCTTGCAAGAGTGTTTATCTATTGTTGAACGAACTATAGCAACAGAAATATATTGCAAACAAGGTCGTAACTTTAACTAGCAAAGGAAATATATTGCAAACATAGGGGCAACGTGAACTAGCAAAGGAAATATATTGCAAACACGGGCGTAACTTGATCTAGCAAAGGAAATATATTGCAAACACGGGTGCAACGTGAACTAGCAAAGGAAATATATTGCAACAAACTGAAGATGTTTGCAACCATAACAACCCACCTCGTAGTGAGACAGTATCCCAGACTCTTCTGTGTATTTTCCTTTGGTGTTTCCACCATCAGCAGGCGCCCTCACTCCAGTCTGAGAACCGTCAACGAGTTTCCAGCCGAGACCGTAGGTAGCTAGTCCGAGAATAATCTTTTCCTTGGGCACTCCAAAGTTTAACCAATATTTCACAGACCACAGCTGGAAAAAAACATACATGGTTTAGAAAATATGTTATCTCACATTCTCTAGACCTGACTTGTCTTCGCCATCCTGAGCTGGACATTTGTTTCAAAAACGACTTTGGCTCACAGGTCGATCCGGCCTTAAAGGGTACCGGGTAAAGTCTTGAGTGCCGATTATTGTATAACAATAGAGATCTAGCCCTGTATACCCAAAATGCATGTAGGTGCTGAAAAAGGTCCTTTATGTTACTTTACTTTTTCTTCAGAGCTGCAGTGACTGAATCCACCTCCATCCTCTTGTTTGAAGATTGAAAAGCTACATTCTGTTCTGTCATTAGGTTTAAACAGGGGCTTTCTAGTTATATTGTTATCTGGTTTTCTGAATGTGTGTCTTATTCAAAGCCACCATCTTCTTCTCACCTCCCGATTCCCTGAAATTGTGTTCAGCTTTGTCTCAAAGATCTACACTATTGCTTCTGTCACATCATTTAATTACCCCAATTCACTCTCCTGGGCAACAAGCACTAACTCAATAATGGTTGTAGTTTAATTAGTAAGTTTTTTTTAAAGTCGTTTTCATCGTTTCAGCCCCATGCAGTAGTACCGACTTGACATTAAAGTTATTTATCATAATTTATTAACTTTTTTTTTTTTAAATAATAAAATCCTGTAACAAACTAAATATATTTACAACTCAGACAACTAGATCTTACTGACAAACTCAAGTTTGTAACAGACTGGAACTTACAGCATAAAGTTCACTTTGTTCTCCTTCCGGGTCAAGAGGGTGTGGCAGAAGAGGGCTGTGGTGACCGGTTTGCTTCTCCCAGCCAGAGCCGTGGTAGTTGTATGTCATTAACAGCATATAGTCGATGTACCTGGGTGCAACAGTCAGAATTTAAGGGACTGAAATGTTTTACTTGCAATAACACTGACACCAGAGGACATTTTGCAGAGACAAACAAATATGTGAGTAGTAGTGATCTAGTGATTGCAGATACAGCCATGAATTTGCAACAACATCTCACATCCATGAATGACAAATTTAAATAAAACAACATGAGAATCAACATCGAACAGACAGAAACAATGTAAATATATACCAAAAGAGGAGAGGGACGTCGAGGTAGACCAAGAACAATATGGAAGGATAACATCAGAGAAACTCTACAGTACCACGATATGTCTTTGGTCGAAGCAGCCAGAAAAGCACGAAGCAGGACCTTATATCTCCCTCGACACCCGAAGTGGCAAAAGAGGACGTAAAGAAGAAGTGGTACTAGTAATAGTAGTAGCAGCAGCGGCAGCAGCAACAGTAGTAGTAACAGCAGCATTAGTAGTAGAAGTAGTAGTAGTAGTGGTGGTGGTGGTGGTGGTAGTAGTAGTAGTAGTAGTAGTAGTAGTAGTAGTAGTAGTAGTAGTAGTAGTAGTAGTAGTAGTAGTAGTAGTAGTAGTAGTAGTAGTAGTAGTAGTAGTAGTAGTAGTAGTAGTAGTAGTAGTAGTAGTAGTAGTAGTAACAACAGCAGCAGTTGTAATGTTATAACATAATATCGTGTTTAATACTTCTGGGTTATATTTGGGATGAATTGAGTCATTTTGTTTAATTTTCAAATAATATTCAAGTTTTCATAATCATTCTTTTGTCTACATAATACTGTTTAGATCATACAATCGTGGGTTTAAGATATTTTTCACAGTTACATTGTAGTATCCGTCTAAGCGTGTGGGTAGTCATCGTTATCACGTAGCGGGTCCTCCGCATCAGGTCGGTGCCATCACAGCCCGCTGGCAGGATACCCCGCCACTTGCCAGCTCCCCACGCCTGATATAATCATCCGGTGTCCTCTGGCCCTCTTTGTTTCTGGTCGATCCCTGCCACTCCTACCCGGTACCATGCTTTCCCTTTTCATTCTTTGAAAGCCATTGCGCCTTTTGATATGGCATTTCAGTTTTCGAGCTCTGTTACAACCAGTTTACTCACATGTTCAGATCTTTCAGGATAAAAGTATGTGTACGGTGTTAAAATACACAATTTCTGTTACTGGCATATTGATTTGGGGATTCTTCTTCTTCTTACTTTTAATCTTGTATCATGCAATAAAACATAAGCCTTCGACAGCATCAGCAGTCTTAAACTAATGTGCAGCACGCGCGTTGTTAATTAATGGGCAATATGGAGGACTAGGCATGATTATAATGGGTAACTTTGAATTGTTTTCCTTCTGACAGCGCTTTACTAATAACATTTTAACATATGGAATGAAGTCTACCGTTTTGCTACCTAAATTACTGAGCTAAGTGCTTGGTGTGGCACTATGAGCTGTATTTTTCATGTGAAATCTGTGATTCAATATGGCCGGTAGCGGTATACGCAGAGGTTGGCAAACTATCTTATGTAATAATCTTACGTGTTATAGCCCAACTTAGCGCGTTCGACTACCTCCAGTAACAGCAAACTGCTGGCAACTGTTGCTTGGGGCCTCTAGAACTGCCGTATGCATTTACTGCGTGTGTCATATTTGTGCAGTGTGCCAGTACCATGACTAATTCTTTGTTCACCAGTTTTTTGTTTAAATGAACAGTGAGGGGCATTTCATTTGATTCGCACTGGCAAAGGAACGGAGCACCTATTGGGGGAAAAAGGGGGGGGGGGGGAGATTAAGACTAACTGATGAGCTTCTTGGTAACCTGACACCTTCGCCTGAATGTATTACTGTCATGTGTTGCTATGTTCCAATGCAATGATGGCATGCTGTCCAGATTTTCCTCTCATTGTCTTCTACTATATATTTTTATTTTCAGTAATTTTTTTAGCAGTTGCATGACGTTGATATTTTTCTCTTTTCCTGATGTTGTAGAAACAAACTGGAAATGGCCATTCAAATGCCAATATACTTTTTAGCATCTTGCAGGTGACTCATTTCGACTGATGTCACACGATTCATTTCACGAATGTTCTATACTCACTTGTGAATTTCTGACTGCTCGTATGATTTCTCGGCATAAAAAGCGCTGGATGCAGTGGCGAGAGTCAATAAAAGACGCTCCTTGCCCGATGCCCTGGCTTCCTCTGCAAATCCGTGGTACAGATCCTGGGAGGAAAGTAAGCATACAACAGGAGGTACAATATAGTCTGCTGAAAACATTGATTTGCCGGGTAATGGAATAAATATAATAAAGTATTTCTTTACTTGTTTTCGTATTTATCATCATATTTAAAAACAAATATAAACACATGGGGAGTGGGGTGGCGGAAGACTCCACGGAATAACCCAGTGGAATAGGTAGCATAATATACTAGCAGTTGCACCATCTGTTGGTAATCCACTTTAACAGATTAACTCATACAGAGGGATAGCCAAGTAGACATTCTATCAGAATGCTACTGGTAACATCGGATTCAGCACTCTACTCTCGCTACTAAAGACTGGGATGGAGCGCTTATGGGAATGTCCCGTGCTACGTCATCCCAGTTATAAGATGTCGGTTATAAACGCAAGTGAACTCAGTGCCTCAACTTTTTCAGCAGCAAAAAAGTTTTACGTTAACTTTTTCAAATCTAAGAAGCTGTTACTGTAACCAGGTGCCTGAGCTCTTTGCGCCCTTGAATATAACCAATACGTTAGTGGGCCTGGTGGTGTCAAAGTAATAACTCTATGAGATAAGACAAAGCATTACGGCCTGCTGTGTTTTTAAATTGTGGTTGTGTTTGTTATTCGATCTGTGCTTGGTTAATATAAATTTATGTAATCTGTGGTGCCATTTTAAAGGTTTCAGATTAATTCTGTCCGTATTCCATATTTGTGGATTCAAGCTCTACGATAGACATGGCCAATGAAGATACATCGTTTGGGGTGCCTAGCTAGTCATGTTCTTAGTACACTTGTTTCCATAGCAAGGCGCACCCGCAATTTGGACGGGACAGGCTCGATTCCCGGCATAGTAACTATAGTTTTCAATTTTTATGTTGTCTAGTGTGTCTTTCTACTTCTTTCTATGAGTGTCGATCAATACACGGTCTGTTTATCTATATTATTAAAAATGTTAATTTTCCGAGTTTGTTAACTCTAAACTCGGAAACTACTGAACCGATTGCTTTCAAATTTTCACACAACGTTGCCTCTGACTCAAAGTGTGATTTTTTTGTCATAAAATCGCACAAACCACGACCGACGTAGCTCCAGCAACGGTCAAATCATTATTTGTTTCGTTGCCTGCCCGGATTTATTTTTAGTTGATTGGCCACCTTCGACTGCTGAGCAGGGCTGCCAATAGATGCCTTTTCCCCTAGGATCAATCTCCGACATTTCTTTACCGATCGCTTTCAAATTTTCACACAACGTTGCCTTAGACTCCACGCGTGTTTGTATGTATGAGTTTTGCACAAACCACGAACGACGTAGCTCCAGCAACGATCATTTTATTAGTTATTTCGTTGCCGGCCCAGATTCATTTTTAGTCGATTGGCCACCTTTGACTGTGTAACACCGAACATCACATTGTTATTATATACTTTCATTTCTACTAAATGCTGGAATATTTAGTAGCGTAGCAAGCATTTTGCCTTTTACACGGGTGACAGGAGTTCGATTCCCCGCTGGGTGATATAATTTTTTTGGGGCCCCTAACTGGGTGGCTGCCACGTTTTGTTGTGGTTTATAGCCAGGCTGCAATATCTACGCCTTTTTTGCCGTTAGATTTTGGGGTTTACAGCAAGCCTGCGTTAGCGGCGACGTGATACTCAATGATCATGTCACGGGTAATATTCGTTCGCCCTTGAAAGGGCGGTTGGCACGTTGTGTTATGGTTTACAGCTAGGCTGCGATATATGACCTAAAGTCTTCAGTCTTCGGTTGTAGAGTTGTAAGTATTCCGCCCTTCACGCGGATGACCGGTGTTCGATTCCCCGCTGGGTGCTAATTTTTCTTTTTCTCCTAAAGGCACCTTGTGTTATGGTTTACAGCTAAGTTGCGACATCTGCGCCTTACACCCAAAGACATCCGATTTCAGTACAGTCCAAATTAGACTCTACCCGACGCTTCACTCGATCAAAAACTATTCGTTGATGACAGAAACTGTTAACTAAGAAGGCTTACGGTCCAGTTTGGTTTGGATTCGACACGGATGCCAAGGTGAATTAAATATCGTCCCTTCGGAGAGGGAGAGATGACGAGTGCGGGTTTTTATTTCCACTATTTGTGAGTATAGTGTACTTTTTTTTTCTAATCGCGGATTATTACTGTGGTTTCACCACTGGTTAGGTGATGGAGTTTTTTGTCGGGGACACACTTAAACTAAACAGTCCGTGGCGACAGCATGCGGCGCCAACTACTCTGGCTACAACGACCTGTACAGAGAGTAGTGACCGTTTTGTGTTGTTTTTGTTGTTGTGACGGTGGTGGTGGTAGTGGTAGCAGTAGTACAAGTACTTGATGGGTGATGTGGTAGCTGTTACACTGGTCATATTTACTTCTCAGTACAGATTATTGCTACTCATTTTTGTTTGGGTGGACACGGATGCCAAGCTCAATTTAACAACAATATTTCGTCAGGCACTGACTTTCCCATATTTCGTAGAGGATGATATGATTGTCGGGGGGCGGGGGTTAGCGGGGGCTAGCGGGGATGGGGGGGGGGGGGTTATGCCAGACACTGTTAACTGAGAGAGCTTAAAATATTATTTTAACGTTCTCATTTCCTAACTATTTTTATTTTAACAATGTCGCCACGTGATAATTGTTCAATCATTCTGAGAGGGAGATATGATTAGGGGGAGGAGGGGTTATGACAGACACTGTTAACTCAGAAAGCTTATAACTTTATTTTACAGTTCTCTTTTCTTACATATTTATATTTTAATACCTCTTCCTCAGCTATTTTCATTTTCTTTTTTTGGGTGCCTGTTTGTTGATCAGTTAGAGGTGTAGCAGTCAGCTTTACTTTTACCTGTTTAAGCACAACAGATGATTTAGCCTCGATAAGCAAATAATCTTTTTTTTTCTCTCTCTCTAACTGCGCACTTTATTCGACCACTAATATCGACATTCACTGACATGCGTGTTCTAGAGTTGGCATATCAAAATATCTCTGTAGCTAAGCATTGACTGATATTAACCATATTAGACAGGTGCGCTTTCTATTTTCTTTCTTTTCCAGTTTACTATTCTGGGCCACATCAACGCGTGGCCGGGTACAGCTAGTTTATTATATGCAAAAGATAAGAGGAACTGAGATAACAGGGGGAAAGGCTTGGTCAATGAGGTGCAGCGAGTTCTGAAAGGTTTATAATCGTAGTTGACACCCTTCCGTCTTTGCAGACGATAGTGACATTCAGTGCTGTTGGGGGGATGTCGGGTGGAGGGAATAACAGCCCATGGCTATGGCGAGGGTGAGAAAATGGCTAGTGACGTCGTACCAGACAAGGCATGCACTAAAAGATGAAAAGGACGAAGAAGACAATGCAGACCAAGACACAGATAATAATAGATAAACTGTGTTAATGCTGGAGGCAGTCAGAAGAGTGAGAAGTAGGCAAAACCTTTTATCTCTCCCGAACTGGTAAAAGAGGATGTGAAGAAGAAGAAAAATTCCTCTCTCATTGCACAAAGCCTTTGCAGTATTATAGTACCGTTGCCTATGCAGCATGAAACCAGGAAACGGAACACGAGTTGCTAGGTACTTCAGAGGGACATGCCGTATTGTGAACGCAGAAATATGCACAAGTGGATATTTCGGAAACAAAGAATATAAAGAACATGTAAAGATGTCAACCTCCAGTGAGAGCACACAGACTCGACTAGGACGGACAATTACAGGTTAAGTACATTTGGAGTGAATAATGCACAAAAGGCATTTTTAAACACGAGTGCAGAAACGAATTAACAATCAACATGAACTCCAATACCGGTAGTTGAAATAATGTAAGTCCCTAGCTTAACGGCAACGGTGAAACAAAAGTCGCTGTCTGTCTGGTGATATATGACAGATAGACAGATAAACACACAGAAGAATGAACGGAGGGAGGGACGGACAGTTACCTATCCATCTAACTAGACAGACAAATGGAGACATACAACGGACAGGCAGACAGTCAATCAGACAGACTAATAGACAGACAAACAGACAAACATAAAAAAGACAGACAGATAGACAGATAAAAAATAAGTTCAGCCATATGCAACAAACACCATTCTGATTGGTCTTACCTTCATGAACAACGTAAATTTGTGTCTGTCTTCTGGCCCGCTGCCCCTCCAGGCGGGAAATTCCCAATCCATATCAAATCCATCAAAGTTATACCTGCAGAAAATGAGCAGCAAATAGAACAATTTACGAACACAAATCTACGGCTGAAGACAGGTACAACACACACATGACATTGTCATATAACGTATAAATATTAGTGAGAACAATGTGGTGCTTGCGGAGACAGAAAACACATTCAGTTAATCTAAAGATTCGGATAAGATGGTGGAATTGGATAGGACACATAGTAAGACAATCTGTTAACGGTTAAATTAGAAATTTCATTTCCTTGATAAACAGGGAAAAAATAATTGTAGGGAAACCTAAAAATTCACTGAAAGCAACATAAGAGACAAAAATGAGGAGATGGCAAAATACTGGCGGGTTTAACATGAACTGATTGACAGTCTATGTTTTCAATGTGTGATAAAGGGGAGATAATACATATTAAAAGTGGAGGAAATGGCGATAAGGAAGAAGAAAAAGAAGAAGAAGAAGAAGAAGAAGAAGAAGAAGAAGAAGAAGAAGAAGAAGAAGAAGAAGAAGAAGAAAGAAGAAGAGAAGAAGAAGAAGAAGAAGACGAAGAAGAAGAAGAAGAGAAAGAAGAAGAAGAAGAAGCAGAAGAATTGAAGAAGAAGAAGAAGAAGAAGAAGAGAAGAAGTAGCAGAAGAAGAAGAAGACACAAGAAGAAGGAGAAGAAGAAGAAAAAAGTCCAATAAAAAGAATGAAAAAAAAGGCAGAAGCAGCAAGCAGCAGAATCAGAAGTAGCAGCAGCAGTAGCAGCAGCAGAAAAAGAAAAAGAAAAAGAAGAAGAAAAAGAAGAAGAAGAAGAAGAAGAAGAAGAAGAAGAAGAAGAAAAAAGAGAAGAAGAAGAAGAAGTTTTCACGTGTGGACAGGTACCATAGAATACTGAACATGTGCTCCAGACATCCTTTCTACGTGCTGTAGAAAGATCCCATTGTATAGCCGGCTAAGAAACCAAGCTGTACGGAAGAGTGAAAGACATGCGCACGCAGTACCACAGACTTCATAGAAGCCTGTTGCCTCCTCATCCGAAAACCACTGACGGGGGAGAACAAAAGAAGAAGAAGCTCTGAGCGGCTAACGATACTGAAATCGACATTATACCACACCGAGCATACCCATAAGGACTCAGTCTTTAGCAGCAGGTGTATATTCATCATGGACACTAACCACTTTTCTAGAACATCTCAATGAGATTAACCATGCACATAATTTTACTTTACTTACTTTCTCAAATAGTCAATGACATTGACCACCCATTTCTTCCAAACTTCCTCACTTTTGATTACGGGGAGAAAAGGTTTGGATCCGATTTTCCAGCCGCCTACAGCAAGCAAGACTTTCAGGATCAGGATTCTTCTCTTTCAGTTTCATTGTCCTGGCATACAGACCTGAAATAGATTTATAATTCAGATATTAATTCTATGCGCCCCATAATTCTGTTATTTCAACATTTCGTATCCCAAGGTTGTTGTGGCAACTTCCTTTAACGGTTAACGCGGTAAACTATACATCTAAGAGACAGAGAAGGAGTTGATCAGAGTAGAACAACAGTATTACAGTACAACGCAACGATGAAGTTCGTAAAAACGTTGAATAGTACAGGTGAACCTGCAGATCACCGTGGCAGTCCTGGAGCTATAATACATGGTTCAGAGGTCCTATGAACCTAGGCGGAGAGCTACCCGGCGAGTATACAAAACAGCTGCTATCCATTTCGCCGCACCAAGGACATACTCCTGTCTCTTTAAGCGCTTTTTCAATCAAGATATTGTGACTCTGTTGTAAGCGTCTTCTCAATCGAGTGCTGCTGCCACCGTTTCCTGTCTGTTCTGGAAACCTTCGAAGGTCTCAAAGGCAAAAGTGGCTGCATTTGACCATGTGTCCTTCCCCGGCCGGTAACTTTCCAATCCTTGTGGAAGATTTCTCTGTTCCAAAAATTCTTGTAACTTGTAATTCTTCTCTCAGTGTCAAGATTGAATTTTTTTTTTATTTCCGTGAACTTACCAAGTAAAAATCATCAAAATTCGGACCATTGTTTCAAATGTCTACAGTCAAATACAATAATCTTTATCGAATTCATCCCCCCCCCTCCCTTCTCTCCCTCCCCTACCCCCCCCCTTTTTTTTTCTTTAAACCCCCCCCCCCCCCTTCCACCCACTGAATTCCTTTTTTTAAACAACGGTCTCCAACATTTGTATAGGTTGCGCCCCCATGAGTATATGGCAATACCCTCAAACCCCTTAAATTATTGCCAGAACCCCCCCCCCCCCCCCCAACCTGCCCTGAGTACGTTTGTTGGCCCTCCACCTCCCCCCCCCCCCTTTTCAACACAGCAAAAATTTGACCCCAAAAAAGCGGACGATAATAGATTTCATAGCAAGCGAAACAGACAGTATGGAGGAACGTTTTTGGTCAGAATTTGTTTTTAATCTATAATTAAATGCATGTGTTATTATATTAAATATATTTTTTTTTTGTAAACTGTAGATAAACAAACTGCTTACGAAGTAAAAAAATTGTGCCTTTTTTGGGCAAATAATTACCGAAAAACAAAATTGTTTTGTATTAAAAAAAAAAACTGAAAAAAAATAAATTATGTAACAAATTGAGGCCCCCCCTCCTCTCCTCGCACCCCCCCCTCCCTCCTCCTCCCCCCCCCCCGGAGGAGATCACTGTTTTAGAACATGCCGTGTCGCTCTGATATAGTCATATATATATATCCACAACCCTCTCTAACTCGAGCACTTTCAATCAGTTCTGACACCGACGATCTTCCATGCTATAATGTCAGACTGCCTTGCATCTTCTTCCTCAGTCGCCCTCTACCTCTTTTCCCCCTTCAGCTTTCCCACCGTCTCGAACAAGACCGTCTCCATCTGACTGTCCATGCTGCTGACGTCATCAAACCGGGTATCGTTAGCCCGGATTGGTGACGTCTGCAGCATCCCCGTCAGATGGAGACGGTCTTGGTCTCGATGTATTCAGTGTATCTCCTTCTCATGACATGATCGAAGATTCTAGATTGCCTCCTTCTGATGTGGGCTATTTAAAAGGTCTCTTCGTGTGTCAGTTTAACATTTAACCTGATAAGCCCAGGTATTTGTCCTTAGTTGTTTGGGTAGACAAACTAATACACATCTATGTGTTGCCACAGAAACAATCCACATTGTCGCAGTTGTTTAATACTTTCTGTGCATCTGAGTTTCAGCACATAATTTTTAAAAATTATGAACGGATTTTTCTTGTCGCAGGCGCTATTACTTTTAAACGTTCTCATGTTTCTTTCTGCACAGATGATGAACAGTTATGTGAAGAGGATACAACCTCGGACATCAAACTAGCTTGATGATTGACAATAGTTACTGCATATTGTCAGTCTTCATTCCTAGCTGATTTGTTTTGTGTAATAAAATAACCCATTAAGAGTTTAAAATAATAACGAGGATGTATGTACAAGATTGTTTATTGTTTAAACAACGCATCAACATCATGGCACACGGGTGTAACCCATAAGTGCTCCGTTATTCTTCCAATTCAAGCATGAGTCCTAAGAATCTCAGCCCCTAGACAAACTATGTAGCACCGGCGAGGATCCTGAAAATACTTTAGGTACATTTTTAATTCAAAATTTTGCCCGGGCAGCGCCATTAGGCAACTCTTTTCGATTTTCAACTGCCAAGAGATTTTTTAACATGCGCATTAATACACACGGGCGTCCGTTTTTTTGTACTCAGAGACCAGGGGAAATTACTAGGAGTCCACGTGAAAAAATCCCTGCCCTCATTGGGGCCTCTAGCACTACGGGCGGACACCATGCCTCGAGACTACGCAGTTCCCTATATGTACAATAAAAACGAAATAAAGAAGACACGCATGAATCATATACAAAACTTGATGGTTGCTGCCATAAACTGGAATCTCGTTCAAGAAATACAACTTTTATTTGCGTGAATTTATCAAATGACTAAAGTCACGGGCATTGTCATAGACCCTCTCCAGGACTGCTGTCTGTAGAATGTGTATTCTAAGGATGAGAAATGAACAGATAAAATCCTGCTAATCTGTTTAACCGCAGAGCCAAAGAGCACTGTAAATACTAGAGCGCCAAACGGCTACCATGCAGTCCAGTGTGAGTGGGTCTAATTGTAAAAATGGAAATAAAAATCACGTGACAAGCAATTGTTATTGAAGAAACGACATCAGAAAAACCCGGACAAATCCATACATTACACAACTAAATCTGAAAACATAAAAGTCTTACCGTTGTTTCCGAGGTCATTCCAGTTGTTTGGCTTGATCCCCGATCCGTCTTCGGTGATATCCACAAAGGCAAAGATGAGGTGGGTACACAGGAACGGGTCAATGTGTTCCGGCCAGAACTTGCCCAGACTGGGGCGGGAATTTGCTGAAGATCCGTAGTAGCAGAAGATCTGTTTCTTGGGTTTACCTGATGGGTGTGGATAGAAGCAGACATGATTTCCATGGCCTGATTTTTGGGTACATAAAACTATTATATTTGAAAGGTAAATAGCGGCAACGTTCATATATCATAAGACAACAACACTGGGAAAATCAGCGGAAGAAATGTTGGAGACAAAAACATCAACAGTAGAAATGGCAAAGGCAGACCACAATAAAACACGCTGGAAGGTCTAAAACAGTTGAACTGAGGAATATCCACAATAAATATTATCCAGAGCGCCTGGGACCAAGATCTGTAGAGACACGAACAGAGGACTGACATTCAACCCCACCCTGATAGATACACACCCGGTGACACAAAGAGCCACTATTCGGATATGAATCAACTGAGGACAGGTACCAGAAACCCCGTTCAACCCACAGGTTGGGTTACATTAGGCCCCACGGCAACGGCCAGGGTGGGGCTTTGAAACAAGACAAAACTGCGTCTGACATTGGGACGCATTGTTAAGACAGGAGAAATACAAACACATAGAAGGTACCTGATTATGTTTGGACTTTCCTGTTGGTTACTGAACAATACATTAAGCCAGGCAGGAAAATAAAGCCCTTTACCGGTTTTTAAAGGACATTACACAAAGACATGAATATTTTGTTCTGGTGATTTACAGTCGTACCCCTTTAGCGGCACTTTTTCAAAAAGCATAATTTTTTTTTTCAGAATTTTTGAAATGGAAACTTTGGGGTGAGTACCGGCACATATTTTCTAGAATAAAACCGCTGCAGATAAAGATTATAAACACAAACAATTTCGATTAATTCAACATTACATACTGATTTTGTTCAGCATACATTTGCACTAATATTATTATCACGACGAGGATTAAAAGGAAACTACAATTTGATCTTCAAGAAGCACAAGCGGGTTTTATACAGGGTAGAAGAAATAGGATCACATCTTTATTATGTATGAGAATAATTTTTGAAACTTGTAGAGAATACAACGTAGATCTTCATGCTTATTTCATTGATTATAGCAAGGCATTTGACTGAATTCGGTATCAGAAGTTGGGGGAGTATTATGAGAAGTATGTGGTTTCCAGAGTGCATTTAATTGACAATTTATATCATGATCAACAAGCAGCCATCAGAGCAGCTGGGGAAACATCGGATTGGTTTGAGTTGCAAACGGGAGTGAGGCAGGGGTGCATTCTCTCACCCTACCTATTCAACATATATGCACACACACACACACACACACACACACACACACACACACAAACACACACACATAATGAGAAATGTCAGACTTGGGTCAGTTATGAACCGCTCATAACTGGTTGCAACCATATTCCGGAACTTCGCTATGCAAATAACACGGTCCTCGTTTTGAACAGGTAAATGGAATAGACGAGTAAAAGGGGTAGAAAATGTAATGTCTGTCCAAAACCACAGTGAAGATAATAATTTGTTTTTACATTTAAAGAAAAAAAAATATATAAAATCCACGGACAAAAATGGCTGTCACCCAAAAATAACAATAAATGATGGAGAAATTGAAAAGTCACAAACTTTGAATATCTAGGCTCTATAACAAATAACATTGGAGACTGTTTGGCAATATTAAAAAAAAGACGATGGCCATAGCAATTCAAAGATTAAACAGCTTTAAAGTCTATGGTAAAGCACCAACAAGGAAATCAAAATTAAAATGTGAGTTGTAGACTATCTCCCAGTTCTTAAGAGAGAAAATAGAGGCTTTTGAGTTGAAATGCTATAGAAAGATTTTCAGAATACCATGGACAAAGAAGAGAAGAAATAATGACGTTTTAAAAGATCTGAACATCACAGAAGACTGGCTAATAAATAACATCTTATCTTGGAATCGGAAATATGAGGCTGGAGAGCTAGCAAGAGACCGAGTTTCTTTTAGTCACACCGTGATGAGAGCGACTTTCTACAAAGGACCTGCTACACGATGATGAGATTTGCACTTCTTTGACACTTACTGGATGTTATATATATATATAGTTTAGGTAGTAAAAATATTTTGGCCCGCAAAAAAAGAGTGACGTCCCTTATTATTCATGACTCGTCGGAATAGCAGGGCCTATCCTATGTTGCAAGGGTGTTATGATATGGCTTCGTAAAGCGTTCGCTCGCCGTATATAATCTTTCTGGCTGGTTGTGTTGTCATGAATCTCTTTGAGGAGCAGCAGGCGCCTGTGTACAAGTAAAAAGTACTGCAAGGGAAGCACCGCAAGCGCGACGGTTCGTGAATATCTAAACTGCGATGCTTTTTGTATTTCTTCGTTCGTTGGCGGTGGCTTCCCGACCCAAGAAAAATAACCATTAACAAGGAACGTAAGAATAGAAAAACATCCCAGTTTTCATACTCTCGAACCGTCGCGCAAGTAGCAGAATGTAAAAATAATCGCACAAGTGAGGTGTGATAACGTGAGAAAAGAGAGAATGGTTAAAGCGTTGACACAGGAATATATGACACGCGCAACATAAGAAAAGCCCTGCGACCCGAGGAAGCATAAATGGAAAGGGAAGTTACTCTTTTTTTTTGCGGACACTGTCTAAAACAGCCGAGGTAATCTAAAACTAGTTCACCTACCTGCCGGATGCTTTGTCAAGAGACCAACTGTGGCATTAGCTGGTGCCTCTTGACTGCCCGCCTGCTTCGGTTTTGGTTTGGGGGCATCAATCTCACTGTGGTATGTGGATACAGAAACTGGATTGTCAAAAACCTTTTTCTGGTCGGTAATGTTTGACTTTAAGGCGTCAATCTCACTGTGATATGTTGATGCAGAAATTGCTGGCTTACTACCAACCCTTTTCTGTTCGGCTATGCTTGGCTTTGGGGCATCAGTCTTGCTGTGATATTTCAACGCAGAAACTGTTGTTTTCCTACCAACCCTCTTCTTGTCGGTCATGTTTTGCTTTGAGGCATCAATCTCGCCTTGATATGTCGACGTAGAAACTGTTGTTTTCCTACCAACCATCTTCTGGTCGGTCATGTTTTGCTTTGAGGCATCAATCTCGCCTTGATATGTCGACGCAGAAACTGTTGTTTTCCTACCAACCCTCTTCTGGTCGGTCATGTTTTGCTTTGAGGCATCAATCTCGCCTTGATATGTCGACGCAGAAACTGTTCTTTTCCTACCAACCCTCTTCTGGTCGGTCATGTTTGGCTTTGGGGTATCAATCTCTCCGACGTGATATGTCGACGAAGAAACTGTTGTTTTTATAGCAACCCTTTTCTGGACGGTGATGTCTAGCTTTGGTTCTGTAGCAGTGTATTCCTTGGAATGTGCTTGCAGTTTGTCAGACAAGGCAGGGTTTTCTATATTGCTGCTTGGAGAGATGGGGCGTGGTGATGACTGATGCTCCGATGATTTGTTTGTTGGCACAGCAAGCAGTGCGCTGGCTGACTGTGTAAAGTACAGTTGTGTACATACACTGGCTAGCAGCACCAGCTTACCTTTGACGTCCATGACAGCGTCAAACAGTCAGCTTCTGAATTACTTCCTGAAAATAGGCAAAGTTGGAGAAAGTTATGCACTAATGTCGAGGACGGTGATAATATAGATAATGATGATTATGGTAGATGTAAGGGTCAAAACATTATTACTATCTTTTAAGTATATATAATTACTAATTGATTACTGATTAATGATTTAAGAATCGACATCCTAGCACATCGGGCATACCCATAGGTGCTCCGTCTCCCGCGGCAAATGACGTAAGGTGTAGATGCTAACTGTTCCCGTAGCACACATTATACACACGCCGATCTCTCCCTCTCATCCGTCCCTCCTTGCCGGATTCACCCTTAATTCCTCGTTCATGCATTCTTGCCCATGTTATTTCATCTAATCTCGTGTCTTCTGCTAAAAGTCGTTCATATATGGTCTTCGGAATATCTCCCTTGTCCAATACTAGTGTTCTTGTAGCTTTCGCGTTTGTAGCCAGATAATCCGCTCTTTCATTCCCTCGCACTCCTGCATACACCAGACAGTATATCCACGTGATTCCCTGCAATGTTGGCGTACTGATGCATGGTATCCACTCATGCCACATTAGTCAATTTTGAACCTTCCGCAACGCCGTCTGAGAATCAGACACAATAATTCCTCTGGTAACTTTGTTTTCTGTTATCCACTTCAGAGCTGTAGTGACTGCCTCCACTTTCATTCTCATGCTTGAAGTTGTAGATAAAAAAGCTTCGTTTTGATCTGCCACAATGTTTCCCTTCATTCTAGCTGAAAAACCCCAGCCACATCTTACGCCCCAATAAACAGAACCATCGGTGTACACTACAGCATCCTCTAGTCCAACCTTTCAATCTACCAGTTGTTGTGCCTCTAATTCTGTCATACCGTTACACCACTCTCTACATTCTTTTCCTAACGTGATAAAAGTCTGATGAAAACTGCTGTTGTGGGTGTTCGTTTCGATCAATTCCTGCTCATTGTGCATTTGCTTGACTGAGGCCGCCGTCTCTATTGTATCTTCATATAATTACATGTAGCAGCAGCAGCGGAAGTTATTGTAATAGGAGTCATGGTGTATGTAGCGGCGGTGAAGAAAGAAGAAGAAGGTAATGAACAGGAGATGGAAGAAAGGGACGATGAAAAGGAGGAATGGGAGAAGAAGAAGAAGGTCCTCTTAGAACTCCTCGTTTTCTTGGTTCATTTGTTTCCCATTTCAGTTCATGTTTAGAGATCATTCTGTCTGGTCCTTCTCATGACATGCACACTATATCGCGATCTTTAGTTTGCTGTAACTGTTGTCTGTCCAGATAGTTCTCTTATTTCTTTGCCTTGTGTAGCTTTTTGTTTTGTTATAACTAGTTTCTTTCCTGTTGCCAGATGCACAAAGAATAGTGTTGAAAACGTTGGTATGGATGACATGGAACTGACACTGAGTTGATTATGTTTGATAGTTATTAGATATAATGGTATAGATTATAAAAAACTTCATTAACCCTTTAAGCGCCAGCTACTTGTTACTTTAACACTATCCTAAAGTGTTTATTTCCTGAGTAAATATTTGGTTAGTCCAAGGAATTGAGAACTACAGCTTTAGTAGAGAATGAGTCATAGTAACAACAGCTTTAGGAGAGAATGAGTCATAGTAACAACAGCTTTAGTAGAGAATGAGTCATAGTAACAACAGCTTTAGTAGAGAATGAGTCATAGTAACAACAGCTTTAGGAGAGAATGAGTCATAGTAACAACAGCTTTAGTAGAGAAGGAGTCATAGTAACAACAGCTTTAGGAGAGAATGAGTCATAGTAACAACAGCTTTAGTAGAGAATGAGTCATAGTAACAAATGACATAGAATGGGTTAATATAATCAATGACTGTGTACCAAAACAAGATGGCTGTGGCTCAGGCGTTGCAAACACGCTTCATAATTGGTGCCGAGTTTGATTCCAGCTGCGGGCGATTTGACAGCAGACCATTCTGCGTTGGTGTCATCAGTAGTATCGAGAGCCGACCGTGCATTTTCAATGGCAAACTACTGAACATAGAATTATAAACAGCCCCTTCCCCCCCCCCCCATTCCTTTTTTCCTTCATGCTGCATCGTCATGTAAAGGACATCAACCAGCTTTCAATCATATAAAGAAATACAGTAAACATATTGTGAGTTCACCGGTACTGAAAGGATTACAAATGAAACAAAGCTTTATAATACATCACCATTCACAATCACTTAACCATTTACTATTTTGTAAATATGTTTCTGGACTAGTGTAATCACCTGCAAAAGTAAGTGTATTCCAATACACTATAAAAGAATACTTCTATGTGAACACGCAGTGAAAATGTCGAGCTGGAACTATTGTTGAATCTTCACTATTCTCTCCTCCAAGGATCAGACCTGCCGCAGAACACCCCACAATCAGTGAAGAAGCTGAACAAGATGGTCACTTAGACCGAATGCATAAAACAATGGCATTGATGTTCTCTTTTATAATACCGCTGAGATATTTCCATTTTAGACGTGAAATTTAGCGCGTCCACCCTGACGTCAGCAACTATCTGTATGGTCACTGACATGCCACCTCCCCCAAGGTTGGGCAGTGGTAGTGCCAAACTGCTGACCGATGTTTAACAATGGAGCAGGTACAAGCAAACAAGAAATTGACCCCAGCAATGGAACACAGAAATCCCTTACATCCCTAACGATCTGATAACAAATGTCGAACTTCGACATAGTTTCAGCGCGGCTTTTGTTCTGTGTGATCCCTGCCCAAGCAAACAGAGACAGTGACCACAGGCAAACATGAAAAGAGGTGTTCCAGAATGACATTCTTTTCACAACAATTTCCATGTTTCCATTTCCATTTCCATAACATGTTTCCAAAGAAATATTTGTTTCGTTGCCTTTAGATGACAAATAAAATGAATTTTTAGTTAGGGAACTGGGTTGTAGTTGTTTTTTAACTACAGTGGAAAAGCAGAAAGTAAAATGGTACGGGCATGTAATAAGATCTTAGGCCTCACATAAACAATACTACAGGTTTCAGTAGAGAGGAATAGGAGACCAGGCAGACTAAAAAGAACTGGATACAGAACTTAACTAATCGGACAGGCCTCAGGCAGGCAACTATGAAGTCCATCGCATCTGACCGTCAAAGGTGGAGAGAGCTGATCAGACATTTAACAGCAACTGGTGATCCATCGACAAGTAGTTTTACGGGATGATGATGATGGTAATTACAGCACACAATACTGATAAGACCAGTTGTCTTTTATAGCTCTGAAGCATGGAGCACAGCTAAAAGGGGTTAGTTGCGTATCCTTTACAGGACGTTGCAGAACCCACCCCAGCAGCCCCTGGCTGTTGTGTGGTTTCTCTAGGCAAATTTACGTCCAGTAGTTTGCCATTGCCCTGGACGGTCGGCTCCCTGATACCACTGTCGAAACCAACGCAAGACGCATGGCCCGCAGCTGGGATCGAACCCGGCACCTCGGCATTACGAAGCGTTCGCATCGACTTAGCCACAGAGCCGACTCATAGTCATTAGTTAGTTAGTTATTCCTCTTGTGCCAAAGATGGCGCATAGGGCAGAGGTCATAGCTTTCCACGTCTGTCGGTTCGTTGCCACTTGATGTAGGTCTTGAGTGCGACTGAGACCTATGGTTGAACTCTCCCTTGTGATGGTTCTACGGAGAGTTTCTTTTGGTCTTCCCTGTTTTCTTTTACCCTCTGGTGACCATATGAAGGCTTGGTGGGGAAGTCTCTGTATGTCCATTCTGAGTACGTGACCGATGTAATTCCAGCGACGCATTCTAATAAAATCAGACACATATTTTTGTTTTGTTTCCTGTCTTATAGATGTATTGGACCTAAAGTCCGACCAGTGAACATTCAATAGCTTTCGGAGGCATCTATTCTCGAAAGCGACTAGTTTCTTATCGATTGATACTGATGATTTCCAACTCTCACAACCATAAGTTAGCACTGGGATCACACAGGAATTGAAGACCTTAAGTTTCGTGTTGTTGCTGAGTGATCATAGTCATAGTTGGTATTAATTTAGTTTCCATGATAACTGCCCATATCCTGTGAACTGGTGTGTGTGGATGTGTATGCGTGTGTGTGCGCGCGCGTTATCCAGTGGCTATATCTTGCAGATTAACTTCGCTAGATATGCGTGTCTAAACACGATCTATTGAAGTGAGAAAAGAACGAAATCTCTTAAGAGCTTAACGGAATGAATGAATGAATCAAGAACTGGCATTACTGCACTCAGGATATTCTCCCACGTGCTCCGTCTCCTTCTTCTGTAGCCATCAAAGAGTCAAATAGTACCAGCTAGGATTTGATTAAAAGTTTTCCCCTGTGGTAAATATCTTCCTTCCCATGTGGGTTTCGGGGCCCCATTGTAGGGAAAAATAATAATAGACCCTGCCTCCCCAACAAGCGTGTCGTAGGAGTCGACTAATTGGAGGCTTCCTTCGAAGTCGAAGTGCATCTACCCGAGCGGCAAAGAACAACCAACTGCACACAAATAAGCCAGTAAAACGGATGTACACGAAAAACTCAGGCCCTGACCCAAAGCCGAAGTCCAGATGGACGAACAACCAGGAATTTCCGCCGGAGTTTATAGCCGGTGTTTATAGCCAAAGTTTATAGCCGGTGAACAAAGATAAAGGAGAATAAATACCTTCCAGGGTCTCTATCTCCCCCCCCCACCCACCCTCCACCCAAATCCTCCCCCCCCCCCGTTCAATTAGTCTTTAAATGTACGGATTCTCTGTCTTTATATCTTGTGTGTGTGTGTGTGTGTGTGTGTGTGTGTGTGTGTGTGTGCGTGCGTGTGTGCAGAACCAGTACGGAAGTGAATCATGGACAATTAAGCGATTAATGAAAGATTATGCGGAAGCTGGGGTGATGTCGTTATATAAGAGAATGATGAAAACACCAAGGACAGATGCAAGGAGAATGAAGATGTCCCGAAAGAAATCAACTCACAAAGAGACCAGGTTACTAGCATCGTAGATGATCCATAGACATTCTTTGGGAACGTATGAGTATAGAAACTGGAGTGCAGTGGGATAGTTCAAAGGAGAAGCAAAACACAATGAGACCAAACAAGAAGATGGACACCTTGGCATCATGGCATGGAAACACATCTGTATCAGAGACGACTGATATTCTATCATGCTTTGATTCCCTGTGTGTGTTCAGGGATTCCTTTTAAGAGTCAATACAGAAGAAGAAGAAGAAGAAGAAGAAGAAGAAGAAGAAGAAGAAGAAGAAGAAGAAGAAGAAGAAGAAGAAGAAGAAGAAGAAGAAGAAGAAGAAGAAGAAGAAGAAGAAGAAGAAGAAGAAGAAGAAGAAGAAGAAGAAGAAGAAGAAGAAGAAGAAGAAGAAGAAGAAGAAGAAGAAGAAGAAGAAGAAGAAGAAGAAGAAGAAGAAGAATGAGAAGGAGAAGAAGAAAAAGAATGAGAAGAAGAAGAGGAGGAGAAGTGGAAGAAGAGATAACGACTGACACTATAAGACAGAAAAGGCTTTGGAAAGACAAGATCACCAACGCATCATGCATTGACTGTAATAAAAAGAAACGTGATATATAAGGTCAGCTAAAGGTCAATGAACCTAATATTGGTTCATAAACGCTGCTTTCTTTATTAACTCTTCGAGTCCCAGGGGTTTATCGTCGATCTGATTAGAAGTTCGCCAGTTTCCCCCTGTGGTAAATAGCCCAAGGGGTAGTGAAGAGATATATATAATGGGCGCATCTTGCATTCAGTGGGCTTTGGGGTAAGATGCTTTGAGCGTATGGTGCGTTTGTTGGGACTGAAAGAGTTGAGCAAGACAATTTAAGTGAAATCGCTGTACTGCCTTTAACAATCTCATCAAGATAACAGCAGTTGAGTTTATACAAACAATGAGTCTCACTGCCAGAAACCAGAAAAATCAATACTACGAATGCTTGAAAATCCTTTTTGCCTTCATAAGCCTCAAATGCAGAAGAACTGGAATCTCAGTGTCAACATTCTATGGATCCGTCACATGTCTCAGGCTGGATTAATGTTAGCATGCCGACACCAGCATTGCCAGGCAGCTGATGATGCGAAATTGTTTCAGTTGAAAGAGACGGTGATACAAAACAAAATGCTGATACAAAGTGGCGGTTATAGCAGAAGGCAATAGCTGCCGAACCGGATGTTAGTTGTGATGCCTTCATCGTGTAGCGTGCCCGCGGTGGAGTCATCCAGCGCGGCTGACAATAGGACGAGATCACAAATGTTTGCTTGATGGCAAATTCACAAAACAGTTCACCTGACAGTTAAAGGGGTCACGAAGAGTGAGTACCTAATATTTACGCGCAAACAATTGATCGGGCCTGGTTAGAAGTTGACGTCTGTGGCTTAGGCGTTACGAACGCGCTTCGTAATGCCGGGGTGCTGGGTTTGATCACAACTGCAGATGATTAGGCAGCAGACAGTCTTGTGTTGGTTTCGACAGTGGTACCGAAAGCTGACAGTTTAGAGGCAATGGCAAACCACTGAAGATAAATTCTTGAGGCCTCGATGATGTGATTTTACAGATGAATCCTTAACATTCCTTGAACAGAAAAAGGAAGGGAACCTATTTATTTTGACACTGTCGTGGGCACGAAGTCAGCTTTGAACACACATCAGAAAGAGACAGCCATGCCTATTTTTTTTCGCCATTTTATGAGGAGGAGGAAACTGGAACATGTTGTGATCACTTGAACAATCTGTGTAAAAAGGGGCAAAGAAAGACATGGCAAGGCTTGTCGGCTCATGAACTTATACATTCTGTTGAAGATCGCAAACTGTGGAGAATCATGATCACCTACGACAGTCGACAAGACACCTAATAATGATGATTATTTCAAATATGTTTTGTTTTACTTGCCATGCAGCCCACAATAATAATAACAAAGTACTTCATTTGTAATTCACTTTAAACAAAGAACATCCGGGAGTTAGTTTTCGGTTGGGATTGGGGTTAGGGTAACAACGGTTGGTCTGTATGCCTAAGGTCGTCAGGGCTAACAAAGATCAGTGTTTTTTGTTCGTGGGCTTTTGTAATAAGTCACCCCAAACAGATTGGAATGTCCCTTGACGTTATCTGGGGGTGACTTCTACGAAAGAACCTATTTTCTTGCCTTAGCACGCAGGCGTTTTTGTCGTATGTCCCACCAAATTAATTTCAAACCATAATAACTCTGGACTTTTGGATGTTCCCGGGAATTCCCGAGTTTCCTTGTGTGGGGTAAATTAAAATTAAAGAGCCATGTAATTAGTTATCAGCGAGGACCGTCATCGCACTGCAGCACCCTGAACAGATCCGTAGGTGCGCCCTCTCCTCCTCAGTAAACCCACTGGCGCAAAGACTGACCACAGGTCTGGCGATCGTGTGGTGATTGTATTGTCAAAACTGATCAGGACTCTAATCAGCAACACTATCATCCTGTTGTGCCATGTATACAACACACAGGGCTCGCCGTCTATTCCTCAATTCTACTCTGTCCTGTTCAGTGTTTTCATTATCATGGACGGATAAAATGGGCATCTGTTGGGGGGGGGGGGGGGGGGGAAGGGGGAGGGGGGAGGGGTTGTCAATGTGTGGGTTAGATCCCTTGGAATTATATTCCATTATTTGTTGCGATAGGTAAAGTTATGGGTAATTAATACGTTTGTCTCCCCATTCACACACCGGTACACACTAGCTCGCTTATTTTTGGCCGACCTCCAGCCTACCTCACTTCTGATAGGTCGACTTCTAGCGATTCGACTTTCACACAAGGTCACGGAGCTATTCCGCGCTGGCGCTGATATCACATGTTGTATATTTCCCCATGTCAGAGCCATTAACACAACACAAACATTTAGATACTGGGTCTAACACACAACTCCCCTAGAGAGTGACGAAACCTATGTCACAGGCCATCTTTTTCTCGGAATAAAAATGTGATTGAACGACAAAAAGAGATCGTGACACCCATAACCTTGACCACGGTAGACTAGTCCATTAAACTTATCAATGGAGTTGACCTACATTCGGTGGGGAGACCAAAGTAATTGGATCCAAGTGATGTTTGGTTCACGTTAATCTCCCCAGATAAAGTAGGTCACTTTTTATTCACAAGTTTGTTGGGCTGGTCGACTTTCCTAAAGGTTACGGCTGAGTACTGCTCTGTTGTTTGCTTTTTGCATTGTTTTGCACTTATGTTTTCATTCCTAGAAAGAGAATGCCTGTTACATAGGTTGCAGCCCTCTCTAAAGGGGGGGGGGGGGGGGGGTTGTGTTAAGGTCAGTTTTTCCAATTTTTTAGAGTGGTAAAAGCGTAGCGTGCTGGGATATACAACACTCTGACCTTGTGCGAATGTTACGGTACTTAGTAACCACTAATCAGGAGTGAACTAGTTTGTATATGGGTGGGGCCTGGGGGTCCTAAGTTACGTGTTTCTAAATTTAATATTAAATTTCACTGGAGCAGATGTGTCAGTGTGGCAGTGGTCATCACCGCAGGGTGACATTTCGGATTTTGATTCAACGGAGACACGCGTCTTCGTGTTCTAATGAAACTGCTGTCGCAACTGAGGTTGACCAGTAGTGATGATTGTGACAGAGGTATCAGATGATACCTGGAGTTTGTGGGACTAGGCAACAGACAGGAGTCTGGCTCTCTGACAAGGTTTTGTACACCTAAAGGGGTGACGTAAATAGAGGAGTAGCTGTGGTCGAGCTGATTGCAAACAACGCTGAATATAACCACACACCCACACAAAACGCTGAAAATAACCACACACACACACGCACAAAACGTTGAAAAGAACCACACACACACAAAACGCTGAATATAACCACACACACAAAACGCTGAATATAACCACACACGCTATACGCTGAATATAACCACACTCACACACACACACACACAAACGCAGCCAATAACCAAACACACGCATAAAAAAAATGCTGAATATAACCACACACACACAAAACGTTGAATATAACCACACACACACAAAACGCTGAATGTAACCACGCACCGACACACAAAACGCTGAATATAACCACACACACACACACAACGCTGAATAAAACTACACATACACAAAACGCTGAATATAACCACACATACACAAAACGCTGAATATAACCACATACACACACACACACTCAAAACGCTGAAAATAACCACCCATACACAAAACGCGGAACATAACCACACACACAAACACACAAAACGCTGAATATAACCACATACACAACGCTGAATAGAACCACACATACACAAAACGCTGAATAGAACCACACTAACACACAAAACGCTGAATATAACCACACACACACGAACGCTGAATTTAACCACACGCACAAAACGCTGAATAGAACCACACTAACACACAAAACGCTGAATATAACCACACACACACACAAATGCTGAATGTAACCACACACACAACGCTAAATAGAACCACACATACACAAAACGCTGAATATAACCACATACACACACAAAACGCTGAATATAACCACACATACAGAAAACGCTGAATATAACCACATACACACAAAACGCTGAATATAACCACACATCCACAAAACGCTGAATACAACCACATACACACAAAATGCTGAATATAACCACACACACAACGCTGAATAGAACCACACACACACACGCAACGCTGAATAGAACCACACACACACACACAACGCTGAATAGAACCACACACACACACAAAACGCTGAATAGAACCACACTAACACACAAAACGCTGAATATAGCCACACACACACGCACAAAACGCTAAATATAACCACACATACAAACGCTGAATATAACCACACACACAAAACGCTGAATATAACCACACATACACAAAACGCTAAATATAACCACACACACAAACGCTGAATATAACCAAACACACACATGCAAAAAATGCTGAATATAACCACACACACACAAAACGTTGAATATAACCATACACAAACACAAAACGCTGAATGTAACCACGCACAGACACACAAAACGCTGAATAGAACCACACACACACACAAAACGCTGAATATAACCACACACACACAACGCTGAATAGAACCACACACACACACAAAACGCTGAATATAACCACATACACACACAAAACGCTGAATATAACCACACACACACAACGCTGAATAGAACCACACACACACACAAAACGCTGAATAGAACCATACTAACACACAAAACGCTGAATAGAACCATACTAACACACAAAACGCTAAATATAACCACACATACAAACGCTGAATATAACCACACACACAAAACGCTGAATATAACCACACACACAAAACGCTGAATATAACCAAACACACACAAACGCTGAATATAACCAAACACACACACACAAAAAATGCTGAATATAACCACACACACACAAAACGTTGAATATAACCATACACAAACACAAAACGCTGAATATAACCACACACACACACACACACACAACGCTGAATAGAACCACACATACACAGAACGCTGAATATAACCACACACACACACACAAAACGCTGAATATAACCACACATACACTGAATATCACACCACACACACACACACACACAAACGCTGAATATAACCACACACAGACACACACACAACGCTGAATATAACGACACACACGAAACGCTGAATATTATCATACACAAACACAAAACGCTGAATGTAACCACGCACAGACACACAAAACGCTGAATGTAACTACACACACACACACACACACGACGCTGAATAGAAAATCCATCAATCGTAACAACAATCAGGGCTCGAGAACAGGTCAGCCATCTCTCACTCATTGTAAACAAACTAGCCAAGCGACAACAATCGGAACATGGAATGTTTGTGGTCTCACAAATAAAGAACCAGAAATAGTAGAATTCATAATGAAACATAAGATCGATATAATGGGAATATCAGATTGCAGGAAAAAAGGCAACATAACAAAAGAAATTCATAACAACTATGTCATATTTTGGAGCGGCGTTAAGAAAGAGCAGAGAGCGACTCACGGAGTCGGTTTTATTCTCCATCCGGATATCGCTAAACATGTAAAGAATATAGAATATGTATCTGAAAGGATTATAGTATTGTAACTCTACGGGAAAACAAGAAATACAAGCATTGTGCAGGTATACGCACCCACCAATGATGGTTACACCTTGGAAGAGAAAGATAACTTCTTTGACTCAGTGTCGGATGTCATCAGTCAGATACACGCAAATGATGATCTTATGGTAATAGGTGACCTAAAAGGGCATATAGGGCAGAGGCGAACACCGTGGGAGGAATATATCGGGCCACACTCAGACAACAGCAAAGTCTGCAATTACAACGGGCAGCGTATCTTAGAACTTTGTGCAGAGCATGGCCTTTATGTCACCAATAGTTTCTATCAGCATCGACAAAGCCAAATAAACACCTGGTATAAATGGAGCAACCCAGACCAGGCCGCACAGTTGGACTACATACTAAATCGACAAAAGAGAAGAAGCTTAGTAAAAGACGCAAGAGTAATTCCTAACATCTCTTTAAATACAGACCATCGACCGCTGATCGTATATCTAAGCGAAGCAACAATTAACAAAAAACCAAAAACATCAGTACGTACCTCAATGATTGACATAAGACACCTAATCAATTTAGACAACCAAGCAAAAGTACAGGCAGAAATGACGGCGAAGATGGCTGAGCTAATAACATCAAGTGACAATGTGGAAGCTGCGTGGCAAAAATTTAAGAACACTTTTCTGAACTGCCTAACAACACTCTGTGGTATTAGATACACAGGAGGAACGTTCAGGAAAAAAACAGCATGGTGGAATGATATCGTAAAACAAGCAGTGAAATGTAAAAAGGAGCAATACAAGAAATGGCTAAGATCCCGCTCAGATGGCGATTATATCAAGTACAGAATTGCCAGGCGACAATCTGCAAGAGAAATTAAACAATCCAGAGAAACATCCTGGATCATGTATGGGGAAAATCTTACCAAAATCTGTGCTAAATCTAGTAGACAGTTTTACAAAACCATTGCAAAAATGAGAACTAGAGATGAGCCATTCCAGCCATCTGAATATGTCAATGATAGTCAAGGCAAACCCATACATGAGGAGGGCAAGATCAGAGAAAGGTGGAAAGAATATTTTCAGACTCTTCTGAATGTAACAGGAAATGAGGAAACAGTACCATTCACACCCAGATGTACAAACGAGGAACAGCCTACAATAATCGAACAAGAAGTCAGAGAAGCAATCAGATGCAGTCCCAAAAATAAGGCATCAGGTGTTGATGGAATATCAGCCGAGGCAATACAGGCTTGTGGAGAAATTGGAGTCACCTGGCTACTCCACATATTTAGGAAAGCCTGGAATGAAAGAACTGTACCAATAGACTGGCAAAGAGTCCTTATAGTCCCAATTTGGAAAAGAAAAGGCAATAAGCAAGATTGTAACAATTACAGAGGCATCTCCCTTCTAAGCCACGTAGGAAAAAAAGTTTGCCAAAATTCTGGAACAACGAATTAGATCCGTTGTAGAACCGATCCTGAGCCCATCACAGGTCGGATTTAGGAAAGGAAGAGGGTGTACTGACGCTATTTTTGCTTTAAGACAAGTTAGCGAAAAGACAATAGAACACAGACATCAAATGAACATCGCTTTCATAGATCAAGAAAAAGCTTTCGATAGAGTAAACAGAAATTTATTATGGAAAGTTCTTGAAAACTACGGTATAAATGGAACAATGTTAGATTGTGTTAGGGCTATTTATAGACAAAGTGAAAGCGCCATTAGAACAAGAGCTGGCATCACAGACTGGTTCCCAGTAACATCAGGAGTAAGACAAGGTTGTGTATTATCACCTTTACTTTTCATAATATTTATGGACAATATTAATAAAATAGACATAACACCAACAGATGTCGATAAACAGGAGGACTTCAATGAGCTGCTCTTTGCCGACGATCAATGCATATTTCACAGTGATAGTAAACAGCTGCAAGACCACATAAACCTACTACACGACAGTTGCCTCAAGCATCATATGAAGATCAATACTGAAAAGACAGAAGTCATGAGCATAAGTAGAGAGCAACAGACCACCGACATAAAGATTCTAGATCACAGCCTAAAACAAGTGCAAGAATTTAAATACTTGAGAAGTATCTTTACATTCAATGGTAAAATTGACAGAGAGATCGAAGCAAGAATCCAACAAGCCAACAATGTCGCATACCAGCTTGCCCCAATTTTAAAACACCCTGCTGTCCCAGCTGGGATAAAAAGACAAATTATAAATACAATCTTTATACCGACATTAGGTTATCAATGTCAGACTTGGACATTAACAAAAGAACACGAGAGAAGACTAACCACCGGTGAAATGAGATGTTTGAGAATGGCTGCGAATAAAACCAGAAGAGATCGAGTGAGAAACGATGTGATTACAAGAACTATTGGAACCATACCCATCGTTAAATTAATTGAGAAGCAAAGAATTAAATGGTTTGGTCACCTAATGAGAATGGAACCAACGATGCCAGCATCAAGAGCATACAACATGAAAATCGAAACACCAAGAGGCAGGGGAAGACCAAGAAGAAGATGGATTAAAGGAGTCACGGACAACTTGAGACTTCATAACATCACGGCATATGAAGCGACTGAGCGCTCCCTGGCTCGGTTGCCGATCATCTGATAGATTGCGACGCCTAGCGGCACAAGCAGATTTTGACAAAAGAAGAAGATACACAAAACGCTGAATATAACCACATACACACACACAAAACGCTGAATATAACCACACATACACGAAACGTTGAATATAACCACATACACACACACACAACGCTGAATAGAACCATAC